AGGGCCGGAGTTTGGCTACCCCCTGGGTTAAATGCATCTCAGATCCAGGCCGTCTGTGACAGCTCTCTCTCCTCCTCCGCCCCACCCCACTGATGGTATGTCCTGTACACTGTATAGACTGGGATGACTTGAGGATCCTTAGACCGCTGCAGTGGAGGAGGGGGGAGAGAAGTTCCAGGGACCGGTCTAAGTGCCGGGCAGCTCAGGGGGATCGGGTAAGTACAACTTTTTTTAACCTAAGCACAAATGAGCACTTGACCCTTGCAGTATGGGGAGGTACGGGGCAGTATGGGGGGGTATGGGGAGGTATGGGGCGGTATAAGGCAGTATGGGAAGGTATGGGGCAGTATGGCGAAGTATGGCGCAGTATGGGGAAGTATGGCGCAGTATGGGGCGGTATGGGAAGGTATGGGGCAGTATAGGGAGGTATAAGGCAGTATGGGGAGGTATAAGGCAGTATGGGGAGGTATAAGGCAGTATGGGGAGGTATAAGGCAGCATGGGGAGGCATGAGGCAGTATGTGGAAGTACGGGGCAGTATGTGGAAGTACGGGGCAGTATGGGGGTAGCTCCACTGTAAGGGTTAAGGATTTTTTGCCCCAGAGCTCTTTTTTAACTGCAGCCAAGAAATAAAAATAAGCCCCCCCCTCCCTCCACTGCCAGACAGGGCTGCACTATGCATCAGAGCTGTGCAAATCTTAGGACTGGATGCACAGAAACGCACACCCTTTGGCATCCCTCAAATGCATTTTTCGTGTGTATTGAGGAATTGGCTCGGAGTTCAACTTCAACAAAACGACTGCCCGCGGCGCGCAGAGACGGGGACAATCAGGAGGAGGAAGTGAACGATAAACTTTCCCCGGCATTCATCAAACTGTTTGCCAACCCGAGTGTAGAAAGTTTCCTGCAGGAGGCGGAGCCGCTGAACTTCCTCATTTCATGTTAATTCTTATTGTGTAAAACACAGATTACGAGTTCTGGAGATTGAAAACCATTTGAAATGATTCCGTTACATTGTTACACGCGCGCGGCTTCCTGCTTGCACAAGGCGGGGATTGGTCAACTCTGAGGCTCGCTTTGTAACGTTCGGGTCACCGCAGGGCCCTGAGGGTGTTGGCCAAGCAGCGCCGAGCGGTGCCGGGGGTCGGGTTAGGAGGAGGAGGAGGAGGAAGTTAGATAATAATCTTTCTGGATTCGGAGGACTTTCTGCAAATCCGTCAGAGAAGATGAAGGAAGGTTTAGAAAAGAGAAATGTGCGCGGCTACTGGAGAAGCCGCTACAAGTGGCGCGAGTAATGAAGGCGGATATAAGGACTGATGAAGGCAATGGTGATCGTGAAGGACGAGTGGTGTGTGGACATCAATGGAAGCGCATCTGTCGTCCATGTAAAGTGGTAACTGGAATGGTGGGAGTAGTAGTCTTGGAGGGAATGTGCGTAGGTGACACAGTATGCGAATAAAAATGTGGTGGAAGGAAAGCTCTGATGTGGTGAGAACGCCACAAAGTGATGAAAACGCGCGGCGCGCGCTCAGCTGGCCAGGCTAGGTAGGGAGCGTTCGTGCCAACCGTCACTTCACAGCGGATGACGTTCAGCACAGCACTTATCGACAATAATGCGGGGGGGGAGGTCACAGCAAAGTGTAAAGATGTGGATGATCTGTGATGTATGACCGGGTGAGATATCTCCCAGCTGGCTACGCGTTTCGAGGCGCTGCCTCTTTGTCAAGCCTGGATGGGTAATGCAGAAGTGCCGTGCTGAACGTCATCCACTGTGAAGTGCCGGTTGGCACGAACGCTCCCTACCTAGCCTGGCCAGCTGAGCGCGCGCAGCTCGTTTTCATCACTTTGTGGCGTTCTCACCACATCAGAGCTTTCCTTCCACCACATTTTTATTCGCATACTGTGTCACCTACGGACATTCCCTCCAAGACTACTATTCCCACCATTCCAGTTACCACTTTACATGGACGACAGATGCGCTTCCATTGATGTCCACACACCACTCGTCCTTCACGATCACCATTGCCTTCATCAGTCCTTATATCCGCCTTCATTACTCGCGCCACTTGTAGCGGCTTCTCCAGTAGCCGCTCAACCATCACGTTCTCATACAATTCATCTCCACACAGCTCCCTCCCCTTTTAGTGATTGCAACAAAGATCTGCGCTTATGGAAGGTGGACTATCAGTAGTAAGCCTAAAGCTGCTATGAGAAGTGGAAAAAGTGAGGTGTGGGTGTTGTCACAGCGCTAAAGATCTAAATAAATGAAAAATAAATATAGGATATACAATTATTAAATATATTTAATATTTATATATCTATATTTATTTTTCATTTATTTAGACCTTTAGCGCTGTGACAACACCCACACCTCACCTTTTCCACTTCTCATAGCAGCTTTAGGCTTACTACTGATAGTCCACTTTCCATAAGCGCAGATCTTTGTTGCAATCAC